AATATTTTCAGAAAAATACTTGGTTGAGCCTATCTGTCTACTGTCTACTGTCAACCTCCACCGAAACTATTAAAAACACACTGCCGCACTTGGTGACATGTTTCTTCCTCACTAAGACGAGCTCCAAAAGCTAAGAACAGCCAACACTTCTTGATTGCAGAAATCTACAGGAAGATTTAGGCCTCCAAAATCCCCAGATCTCAACCCGATCAAGCATCTGTGTGATGTAATGGAAAAACCTTTCCCAGCAGGAGCGGTTCTCTATACAATGCTTGCACAAAGAACACTTTCATGGAAGAGTCTGTACAAGAAAAGCCTAGCCACATCCACACCACAAAAATGATTGTTAGATGTATTCCACAGCTTTTGGGTTATTTTGTAGCTGGTGGCACTGGAAACACTGCAAGGATAGAAGGAAGAAATTATTCCACTAAATACCAGCCAAAGCAGATGTCTGTAGAAACATTTAAGATGAAACGAGGATGGCTTCTACAGTAGGATAATGATCTAAACATGTTTCAAACTCCACTGTGGATTACCTCAGCAGACACAAACTGAAGGTTTCAGACTGGCCCTCACTGTCCCTTCACTTAAACACAGTTTAAAATGACTTTGTAAATCTTAACAAGAGCTGTTTATGCAAGACAGCCCGAGAATATTGCAGAACCAGAATTCTTTTGCTAGGAAGAATCGGAGGAAATCCCAAATAGAAGACTGAAAAATGTGTAGCTGGCTACAAGAAGTGTTCGCAAGCTGTGACATCTGCCAGAGAGGGTGATACTGAGTACTATGTAGGGTGCCCAAACTTCTCCAGATACTCCAATGATATTTAATTTTTGTTCAATTTATAGCATGAAAAGTAGTACTATTGCATTATTATTTGCTGAAAATACTGTTCAGTATCTTAGAGAGGCAACTTTATAATTAAAACATTCCAAAATATGTTATTTGTCAAGTGGTGCCCAAACTTTAGGATACATCTGTATATATATGTATATGTATATTACTGCGTATATATACTGTATATGTGTATGTATATTGCTGCGTATATATATGTGTATGTATTTTACTGCATATATTTATGTATTTTGTATCATTAACATGGCTAGGTAAGACATTTGCTGTGTGTGTGTGTGTGTGTGTGTGTGTGTGTGTGTGTGTGTAGGAGTTGTATGTGGGGAACAACCTGATCGAGCAGTTGGAGACAGAGCAGCTCTCCTGCCTGACAGCCATCTCTCTTCTAGAGCTCCGCGACAACAAGATTAAAACCCTCCCTGAAGAGATCACCTTACTGAGCACACTCACACGCCTCGACCTCACCAACAATGACATTTCCACGTAGGTCGCCAGCGTCCTGACAACTTCTAGTCAGAAATTTGGACACTCCCTCACTCAGTTGTTCTTCTTTGTTTCTTTTCTATATAAAGTATTTCTGTGTGATGGGCGATCTGTTATGCTACTATAAGTGGGATCTATCTCTCAGTCTTCCAGCGTCTCTCAGCCTGCTGCCCAGTCTGAAGGTGTTACTACTGGAGGGAAACCCTCTGCGAGGAATCAGCCGTGACCTGCTCTCTGTAGGTGACAAAGAACAGAAACACAAGGCAAAGGCATTAAAACAGATGAGAAAAGTAGAGAAGACACATGAAATCACGGACTTGGCAAGCTGTACTACACTGCTAAGCACAGTTGTGTTTTACTTCGCTAAGAAGTGTCCACATTGTGTCTAGATATTTATTGTTTACTTGAAAACAAATTTTGATAAATTGATCTAAATTAAGATCTGTATAAACAGTGTAGGTATGATATTAACTGAGAAAACATTTGTTTGTGTTTTAAAAAAAGTAGCTTAACGTCAGTACCAGGTCTCTGGGGTTCGTCTTTTCAAGCTCGGTGACCATCAGAAATGAGGTGTATATACTATACAGTTTACTGTGTCACAGTAATCTTCATATAAAGACCCAAATCAACAAGATTCAATACAGTTGCTATTAAAGCCAGGGTTTCTAGCAAAGGTTCATTTCTTCATTAAGAAAGGCTTGCTAATTGATGGCTTTAAAATGCTTTCCATAATTGTATCAGTATAGTCCTACATCGTACACAACATTTTAGTGCATAAAAATCAAAAATTACAATTAAGTTTAGCGTTGGCTCTGGAATGTCACTGACATGTTTCTAGGTCAAGTCTGATGCTTACACATTGTCTCATTAAAACAAAGATTCACAATAATTTACTAACTGCTTACATTACTCTTGTGTGGTTTTTCCTCACAGAAAGGAACCAGTGAGCTTTTGAAATATCTAAGGGGAAGAATTAAAGGTAAAGTTTACTTTTTTGCTAAGTGGAAACACATTTTCACCATGGAACCTAAAAGGACAGCAACATTTCCATCACAAACCTATACAGTGCTGTTCACCAGCATCGACTCAGTGTCTGTGAGCCACATCAAAGACACATTTCTATTTCCATGTGATCAAAACAAAGTTTTTATACTTTTTTTTTTCATCAAAGATCAATTAATTACAAAATTTCTTGTCCCTATGTTTGTCCAGATGTCCCTGGGCTGAAACACTTCCCTATAGGTGTTGATCTTTTCCAAAGATAAACACCAGGGTATTCGCCTTTCATTTATGCTAAAATCACTGGTGACAGCCCAACAGAAACATGCATTCCTTATCTTGTTGTTCTGACCATGGACGTTCATTCATGAACTTGCAATCTTTATGAGTGAGAAATAATCTGAACTCAAGATCTGCTAACTAGCCTTTTCAGAATTGTTAAAATGATCTCAAGATCTTCATCAGTGACTTTCAGAAAACATCAGGGACCACCAGAGAAATTCAAGTGGGACTGTCTTAAGCAGCAGGATTGTTTTAAGCCTGGTCTTAAAAATAGAGAGGGTGTCTACTTCCTGAACTGAGACTGGGAGTTGGTTCCACAGGAGAGCAGCTTGATAGCTAAAGGCTCTGCCTCCCATTCTACTTCTGTGGACGCTGGTAACCACAAGTAAACCTGCACTCTGAGAGTGAAGTGCTCTGTTAGGATGATAAGGCTCTACGAGGTCTTTAAGATACGATGGAGCCTTGTCATTAAGGGCTTTGTATGTTAGGAGAAGGATTTTAAAGTCTTCTGGATTTTACAGGAAGCCAGTGAAATTCACATCTGACATTCCAACATGTAATCATGATACTGAAGTTTTACACTGTGAGATGTTTAACATTCAGAAAAAGCTAGTAAGTAGACCTTGAGTTGAGATACACATACTTAATCTTTGTTGGAGGTTTAAGTTCACTCGTTTTGCCATGTGAATTCAACCACTGACAAAAGTACTGAGTCGTTCAAATTTAATGTATGATTTTCTCATCTCCTTTAGAAGCCACTGCCTGCAATTATCTTCTAATAAACTGTGTGATGTGCTTCATGCTGCTTTGTAGCTATGGATGAGTGTTGCCTCTTCTCTGGAGACTAGGCAAGCTGGGTTGCTGTCAGTCATCACAGGGTGTCAGCAAATCCATCTGAACAGAAATTGGTCATGATATGTTACATTTCTTCGATGAATCAAATGTTGCAGTGGAAATAGAAAACTTCTTAAGCAAAAAGAGTATTGCTGAATAAAGAACCTGTATTGGATTTGGTTGGCATTTTTCACCCAGTATACCAAAATGAACATCAAAACCGAAATGTTGAAATGATCATGTTTAGTTTAATATTCATGTATGAAACTGTGATAGTAAACTAACATTTTAAATCATCACAGCCCTAAAGTCTAAAATCTATTGACTCTGACGTCACTCTGACGTCACTTAGCTTTACTAAGTTCCCTGGTTATGCCAATTACACATAGTACATGTAATATAGTATATTGAATGTGGGTTTGTCACTCTGCTGAATTAAGTGTAGCGTCTGTCATAGATCTGTAAAACTAAACGTGTGTGTGTGTGTGTGTGTGTGTGTTTTTGCAGAGGAGCCTGAGGGTGCAGATAAAGAACCTACAGCTATGACTTTACCCAGCCAGGCCAGGGTCAATGTGCATAACATTAAAACTCTCAAGCTACTGGAATATAGGTTAGTGGTACACACAGACACTAGTATTGCCTAGGACCCTAGTCAAAAAAGGTGGTACTACAGGTGTAAAATCAGCAAAAAATTAAGAAAAAAAGCTGTACATTTCTACGATGATGTTTTGATATGAAGCTTTCATCAAATCAAAGCGTGGCTATACACACTTGTCAGTTATGTACTTGTAAATAAGATTAGTGATATTTGCCCAATTGAGCACTTTATATTACAAGTTAGAGTAATCAGAGTGTAACTCTTTGTGTATGTGTGTGTGTGTGTTCAGTGAGAAGCAAGTGGGTTGTATTCCAGATGAGCTGTTTGATGCTGCGGCAAGTCACAGCGTCACCAGTGTTAACTTCAGCAAGAACCAGCTGACCTCCATACCTCCCAGGTACACACACAACTTGCAACCATACGTACAAGCACACACAGCTACAGACATGATCACTGTGATGGACAGCTAGGTCTGCATAGAGTCCGTCATCTGGAATTGCTGCACAATGATGGTTGGTTTTCCCCACTTGCTCTGATGTCATGCAATATGTAACAGTATTCTTATGAGAGCAAATGTAGTTGTATTTTGTACTATGAAGGTTTACGCTGTTAACAGGATCAATGGTGGTCAGTGGTAACTTACCTAACAGTGTACTAGCCAGGGAGGCTGAATATATATCAAAGTGCCCATGGCTGCTCATTTCCAGCCATTTAATGTTTAATCTTGAGTCCCTCTAAATTAGTTTGGTACACTTGACTCCAAATAGTGGTGCTGGGGAGGCGACAGTGGTGCAGTGGGTAGAGCAGTCGTTTCCCAAACAGAAGGTTGAAGGTTCAAATCTCGGTGCCAGTAGTCCACGTGTCGAAGTGTCCTTGGGCAAGACACCAAACCCCCCGTTTCCCCCAATGGTTAGAGCTATCAGTTGAAGTGGCGCTGTACTGGAAACAGATTCCTTGTGTGTAACATACTTGGCCAATAAAGGTGATTATTATCCTTATCCTTAAATAGTCTGTAATTATTTCAGAAAGATAAAACCAGAAAGCCTCTTCCTAAAAACAAGAGGATAGTTCATGAACATGTACAACTTCTGCTGCCGGTGTTGTGTCAAAAGTGAACAGCACAACGAACCATGACAACATTATTTAATTTGAATTTCTCTACCATAGATAGGTAAACAGCAGTATATGTACCAATGAAAAGAGATGTGTAACACTCTAAACAAAGCGAGTAACTGAGAAACCCCATATTTTAACTGGCATAATGCAGACATAGTAACTTCTCCAGCCTTACAACAATTCTTTCTAACATTACAGAAACAAGGCATTAACAGACATGTAATGTATTTTTTTTTTTTTTAAACTTACCGTTAAGTCCCACCAAGTACTAGAAACATCACTCCCTTTCAAGTAGCTCCAAGGTCAGTAAATCCAATCGGCGGTCACTGTGTCTTCCCCCCACACGACCACATACTGTCCCAAAGTAGTAAAATTTGTTCCAACTGGTAGTGTAGCACCGACAGTAACATTATGGATTATTAGAATCCTCTCCTTAACCTGCGTCACATCACATGTGGCAGACACACTGGCCTCAAGCAGTTAAAACAAACGGGTACTGTGCTCCAGGGGAATCCAGTGTTGATGAGCTGAACATTTACCACCGAGGGGGCTTCACTGGCCGGCTGCTTGTAGGTTAGACCTGGTCAGGTAAAACAGTGAGTCCCTGTACAGGAACATTCCCAGACATGCAGTAACCTCAGGCCCTGTATTTTTCTCCACATCCTCTGGTCACAGTGCAGCAGGAGGAAGGAAAATGTATCCACAAAACTATGTGCAGTCCAAAAATCCTGCTTTACAGTGGCACTAGTGGATGTCTTTTTTTTAAATAAGCTTTATTGAAAACATACATAACAAACAAAGCAATATAACATTTTGCCAATATGGTGGGGGTACTGAATGTCAGGCAAGCTCACATGAACATGCAAGGGGCTGGATTTTATGGCCATTCAAGGAAATCCTTGAACTATCACGTAATACTTCATTTTGTTAGAAAAAAGTCTCGTGAGTGAGAGTTTGCGAGACGTGTATAAACCGAGTTGCTTCTGCATAGAAATAGTAGAATATACATACACCTCATTTTTTGAGCTCTAGGTCACGTCTAAGTTGATAATTTACCATTGTAACATTGTAGATAAGTCGGTAAACAAGGAAAAGCGCCATGGGCTCTTTAAGCTTATATAACAGATATCTCTGCAATCTATGATACTTGTAGTCTACTATGTGAACATGTGGCAACTTAAAACATTTGTGATCAAATAAGACTGGAAGAATCTTAAAATGCTATCTTATAATATATCTGATTAATAATAAAAAGGTTTGTCCTGTAATTCATATTCTGAGTGTCTTTAATTTGAGTGACAGGTCCAGCAATCATAATGTGATGGTTACCTTACACAAGAATGATAGCCCATCTAAGTGTTATTGCAATGTGAAGGTTAAACCATAAACAATGTCATGAGGATCACAGCTTACCTATGCAGTTTAACAGTCACCCCGTTATAGAAAAGAATGTTTTTAAAACCACAATCACCTGAGACTGAGAACAAGCTGATCCACTGCCTGATAGCATTTCTGATTAAGTCAGATGTGTGCTGCCTGCTCTCGTCTGCTTTCCAGGCATATGCATTTCATCTCAAACAAGCTTATTCTATCACAACTAAAGGCTTCCTAGACCCACCATGTGTGTGCTGTGTATGCAGGCTGGTTGAGTTCCACTCCTCGCTGTCAGACATCAATCTGGGTTTCAACAGACTGACCTGTTGTTCTCCTGACATCTGCAAGTTACTGCAGCTTAAACACATCGACCTCAGGTACATGCACACAGAAACAGAGCATTGCAGATTTACAGTATATTTATAGTACATTATTAAGACTGCTCCATGGCGGCATTGTCCAAAGCTCTTGTTTTTATATTACTCACAAATAGAGCTGAAACTAAACATTATTCAACCAATCAGTTATTTGATTGATCTCGTTTTTAGGTGGATGCTCTCGGGTTTTATCGTTCTGAAATAATTAGACTACTGATGGGTGCAAAGCTAATCTAGAGGCACCCAGGATGTTAAATGGCTGGAAATGAGCACATTATGGGCTCTTCTAATTTGTAGCTTCTGCTGTCTGCAGTCTTGAAATTTCACGTAATACTTTACCTTCATCATGTAATCAAATAGGAATCAGATGAGTCTCAGTGTTATGCTTTGTCATTTTAACAGTGGTGCCACATTGTACAAAACAGGCCACAGATGCATTATTGTATCTAATATTATTCAGAGAGTCATTTAGACTAGTGAGAAATGGAAGTGACATGAGTGTTCACACTTAGAATGATTAATTAACCCGGTAAGATAAACATCAACTTGGAAAATTTGTCACTTGATAGATTTAACCTCTGTGCTCTAGTAGTGCTACAGCTCCTTTTTACGCACAGAGTGCCAAATATCATGCAAGCAATGCAGCTCTATAATGTAGTGGTCCTGTCATATTTAATTAGAGCCAATACAGAAAAATTACATAATGGACAAATGCATTTGAATGCAAAAGAAGCCATTCCTTTAACAGATAGGTGAAAGGCTGAGGAAGAGGATGGGAACAGGAACCACCAGTAAGGGCTTCATATTGCATTTATGTCTTGTCTGTTTGTTTTTTCTTTCAGAAACAACCAGCTCAGTGACTTACCATCTGAAATGAAGAACTTAACTAAACTATGCTCCATTATCCTGAATTACAACAGGTAACTCACTGTTTTAGGAGCTCTTCACCTCAAAATTAAATCATCCTGACCATCTGCTGGAATATGTTTCAGTGGACGAGACGTTCCTGTAATGACCAAACACATAGTTACTTCAGTTTCATTTTATCTGACAGATTTGAGTTTTTTTAAAAATAACATTAATGGGATGTTTCAGGTCACCCAGTGTTAATTATTAATAACAGTTATAATAATGGAATAAAAGTAAGAAAATAGGCAAGGCAAGTTTGTTTATAAAGCACGTTTTCATACACAGTACTTAATACAATGCACACAAATAGATAAAACATTAATATACATACGGAGATAAACTATTAGAATGCATATTAGATTGAAACATTAAATGCTAATTAAAGCAGATTACACGACTGCACAAAGTGGAAACATGCAGCTGTTGAAACCAAGTGCTTTTAAATAGCTGTGGTTTCTCATTGTTCTCAATGTTCTTTAAATACACAGAATAAATAAACTCAATCTATAAAGCTGGAATAGAGTTTGGGCACAATAGTCAAAATGGTAAATTGTTATACTGATAACAATCAAGGAAATGTACAAAATAATGTGTGTAGTGAGTAGTGTGTAAGACATTTGTGTAAAGTTCAGAGGTGACAGGGAGGCGACAATGCTATTAAAGTGACCAGTGTCTTTAAGCTATGCTGTTAGTCAAAATCTCTGGTGTCACTGGGCTGTCTGTGTTTGCTGGGAGCACTGATGTAGGTTGTGTAATCTGCTGAAGTTGTGGTCAAGGGTGTCCTGTAAGAGGTATGAGGTGTTGTCCATAATTGCATAATGACAGAACTGGGCTTCCTTACCAGTTTGTCCAGTCTGTCTGTTGCTGTTATGCCACTGCCCAAGCAGACCACAGCACAGAGGATGACTGATGCCACTACAGAATCCTAGAACAGTTTCAGGAGTGTCCTGCACACTCCAAACAATCTGAGTCTTCTCAGCAGGTAGAGTCGACTCTTTTGTAAATGGCAGTGGTGTTGTCAGTTTAGTCCAAGGCAGTGTTGAGGTATACACCCCAATTATCAAATCAAAACAAATTTTATTTGTATAACTCCAAATCACAACAAAAGTCATCTCAGGACACTTTACAGAGTAAGGTCTAGACCTTACTTGGTGGGCAGCCTTCTGCCTCAACCGGTTGGGGTGAGTGGATAGAGGAGAGAGAAAAGAAGAAAATCAACAAGACACAACAAACAATCAAACACTGATCAGGTTGATGTGGCCGGTGACTGCTCATCAGAGACATAGAGCTCCAGGGCCAGGGCAACCTGTAGAAAGGTACAAGGAGAGAGAGAGGACACACTACAGGAGAGAGGAGACACAGTTAGTGATGTGTAATGGTGGCATATAGAAGCATAGGGAGAGAGGAAAGGACAAGGGGGAGAGGGGAGGAGAGAAACTCAGAGCATCATGGGCCCCCCCAGCAGCCTAGGCCTATAACAGCATAACTAAGGGAAGGCTCAGGGTCACCTGATCCAGCCCTAACTATAAGCTTTATCAAAAAGGAAAGTCTTAAGTCTAATCTTAAAGGTAGAGAGGGTGTCCGCATCCCGAACTGAGACTGGGAGTTGGTTCCATAGGAGAGGAGCTTGATAGCTAAAGGCTCTGCCTCCCATTCTACTTCTGTGGACTCTAGGAACCACAAGTAAACCTGCACTCTGAGAGCAAAGTGCTGATGAAGCTCTATGAGGTCTTTAAGATACGATGGAGCCTTGTAATTAAGGGCTTTGTATGTTAGGAAAAGGATTTTAAATTCTATTCTGAATTTCACAGGGAGCCAGTGGAGAGAAGCTAATATGGGAGAGATATGATCTCTCTTGCTAGTTCCAGTCAGTACTCTGGCTGCAGCATTTTGGATTAACTGGAGGCTTTTTAGAGATCTGTTGGGGCATCCTGATAGTAAAGAGTTACAGTAGTCCAGCCTGGAAGTAACAAATGCATGGACCAGTTTTTCAGCATCACTTTGAGACAGGATGCTCCTGATTTTTGCAATAGACTTGGTTTATGTGTGATTTAAAGGACATATTCTGATCAAAGATGACTCCAAGGTTCCTCACAGTAGTACTGGAGGCAAGAGCTATGTCATCTAAAGTAACTATATGATTAGACAGC